GAAATTTTACAACAAATGCTCCGAAAATTCTAGATCTCAAATCGTCTTCCGAACAGATATTTTCCCGAAAATTGCCGTTGGGTGCCCCTGATTAGTAAGAAGCAACCATGATCCAGGCATCAAATTGATTGTTATGCTTTGGAAGATCTAAATCAAGTAAGTTACTCCAGTCATGTAGGAACTTCACGTTGCAATCCGAACTAGAACAAACTGTTATAGCTTGTTTAGCAGGCAGAAATGCTCAGGAGGTTTCCTATTCTTGATTTTTCCAAACACCGAGCGGCGATTCAAGGCGATTTTTGTCAGGCATCTGCAAGCCGATCGGCACAAGAGCACCGGTTAAAATATTTGAGAAGCTGTACGCGCGTCTGTTCCGCAAAATCATATACCGCTTTGAATGAACTTCTAAATGGTTGTAAAGATAAAACTGAAGTTTCGGTCGGTTAACACTATCCGTTGAACTTTTAAAAAGATGTTTATAATTCTCCTTTCATAAATTGTCCCGTCTCAGGCTGGCGACAGTTCTGGTTTTTGTGACCATTGTACATATGATGAGGCAAGATCAAAGGTTTTGTGTTAGTATTCACACGAAACTACATGATCATTGTTTGTGGTGTTTGCTGAGGGAGCCAGAACAGTAAAAATGAACCAAGAATATGGCCTCGCTCTCCGTGAGTCAGTCCGTAGCTCAAGTGGATAGAGCGCCCGCCCGGTGTTTGGGAGGTCATGGGTTCGAATCCTGTCGGGGACTCAGATTTTTTCTTTGTCCCACGCTCGTGACATGCTAAATATTTTATTTTCACATCTGTTTCACCGAGCTTAAAAATTTACTTTATTTCATTCTTTCATCAAAAATGTTTTGCTCGTTCTGGTAAACAAAGTAATATTCAGTTTGGACCATGCTAGGAAGCCCCCCCTAGATACTTGTGATTGGTCATGTATTGACAGCTGGGATGTCGTCATCGGATTAGTATGGAAATTTGTGGGCGCAATACAAAAACACTGGCTCTTATAGCAGGCTCTACCTTCCCTTTTCGCACTTTTCTCCTCTCCCCCTCCCCCTCCCCTTTTTGCGCCTGCCACGCTGGCTATTCTCTTTAGCGTTGCATTGTTGTTTGCTTCGATTTTGTCTTGTTTTCTCTTGCCCTGTCTCCTTCAAGACAAACAGTTTTTACATAAATTACAAAATGTCAACATTCGAAAAGCACATGGTCCTGACAATATTACATCAAAAGAGATGAAAATGGTCTATTCAGGGTTTAGTCACTGCATTGCCAACATCAGCAGAATGAGTTTAAGAGAGACCACATATCCTAGTAAATGGAAGGTCGGCAAAGTTGGTAAAAGAGAAGTTTGCGCAAACTACCGACCTCTGACATTACAAAGTATTCCCAGCAAAATATCACAATCGGTCATATGTTAATCTTTAGACCCACACTTGAGATGTGTTTTGCAACAGAACCAGTGGGGTTACAGAAAGGGTCTATCATCTGAATCATTGGTATTATACCTTGCAGAGATGTAAAAGCTATCCATAGACAATGGCAAAGTAATTGGAGCAATCTTTATTGATTTCAGAAAAGCCTTAGTGATTCCGTAGACCATAACATCCTAGGCTATAAGTTGCTAGCCTACGGCATAACCGGTAGTCTTTTGGAGTGGTTACTAAGCTATTTAACAAATCACCATCAGTTTGTAGAAATCAGTGGTACCAAGTCAGACCTTCGTAAAGTTGAATATGGGGTTCCTCGAGGTTCCCTTGTTGGTCCCAGACTCTTTCAATTTACATCTGATTAATTTTTTCAAAGCAACTTCATAACAAGAACAACAATAACGGGTAAAGATTACAAACAAAAAGAGGCAAACTAAAATATAAAAAAGTCAAGTGGAAAAGCGGTTGTCATAGTCTCTTTTCCAGATCAAATTGTACACGTGAGATAAGGGTGTCCGTAGTCACAATGCACGTGTGAAAAAGAAACGCTAGAATTTACGCCATATAGCATTTCGAAGTCGAGGGTGCGTTTTTGTGGTGGTGGTGGGAGGGGGGAATATTAACAGAAGACACAATATGGGCTTCCTCTAAAGGAAAAAGTGGCTTCGTAAAAGATGCCAAGAATCTCTTATCGGTCTTGCGGGTCATAAAAGACACCCTCAATGTTGTTTTAAAGTAATTATCCCATAAAAGAGATTATTGTAATCCTTAGTATGAAGGAAGGGAAAGGCATTTTGAAGGTACATGAATCGGGCTACGGAAAATATGTAATGACCCGTTATAGCAAAGTATAATTAGTCATAATTAATAAACGTCCTAATTAAGTTATTCTAAAGAGTAGGTGTGGTCTTGTGACCTCTTTGCTCATTTTGGAGTATACTTACCGCTCATGTTGGAGGCGTGGTCACTCGGGTTTATAAGTTGGCACCAGCGACAGAGGTAAACCTGCCATGGACTAACATTCTCCTCATGGGGATTGAAAGAAGTGGGGGGGGGTACTGCATGCTACAGTCGAAACGGCATTAATTAGTTCAACCCGTTTATGCCTAGGTGTATAAACTAGTAGCCTTAGTGCGCCTTTACCTACTCAGTAGCCTTTGACGTCGCGAGTGCAGGTTTTATTTTTGCCCGTAGATTAAAAAAGAGTTCTCTTGCATGATTTTGAGTTGTTATTTTGTATTTAAAATAATGTTAAGCTTAAAATGAAAGAGAAGTTAATTATATGATTTGCTAAATCAGAAACCTAAAACACCAAAAAGGTGAAATAAGCTGCAAACTAGGATATAAGAGATTAAAATGATCCACTACTGCCAAGGCTAAGAGGAAATTTGTGTATTACAAAATTAACGAATTCCTTAGAACATAGTACGATGAGATACATCGCATTATCCCCTTCCCCAAACCAAAAAAAAAATCCAACGTGCCTTTTAAGCGTGTTGTTTTGTTGCCGTTCTGGTGCCGTTGTCTTGGCAAGTAATTCATGGTGGTCTCCATATCTTTTTGTTTTAGTCTGCGTAGCAGGCGTCGAAAGTGGTTAAAGGGGTTTGGGAAGAAGAGGAAAAGGAAGGGGATTGGGGAGAGAGGGTAGGGAACAAGGGCACAACTGTCTAAACCCCTGACCCCTCCCCCCCGGCCAAATCTTGAAAGTTTAAGCAGTCAAACCCCATTAAAACGGACACTGAGGGGGCCATAGAAAGTGTAGCCTGTGAACAGGCCTTTGGTCGAGCGGGGAACTAGGGAGAGGGACAAGCGAAAATAGAAAGGGTCGGTATCCACTGGGTGTCCTTAAAGCGGGTTTTCGCCATTTATTAAGCACTCTTAGATACTGAGTTTATTTCCGCTTTCAGGCTATCTTCAAGAAATTTTTAACCTATATTGTACTAAAAGAAAAATATATGTGAACTGCTACTTCACATTTGAATACCTAGTCTGAAATGACGACGATTAACCGATTATAATACAGGTATTATAGACAGGCTGTACCAGACGATAGAAAAAAAGGGACTGGTATCCGCTGAGTGTCTACTCAAAAGTACCATATTATTGTGAGAGTGGAGGCTACGGAATTTATACAAACCAGTATGACCACCGCAGTTGTAAATATTAATAGTGGTTTCCATCAATACTAATTCATTAGCTAAATGTTCAACGTAGGTGGACTTCTGAAAAGTGTCCAAATTTTGACAACCTGTGAGAGTTCCAGTGTAAAAGTCGTTAGCAACATCAATTAGATTGAAGTTGCGGGAGTCTTCCTTGTATACTGACACTAGTCTTTTTTGCGTCATGGTAGACCTAAGGTAGTTGTTGATTCTTCTTAAGGCACTAGTAAACGACCTTTCGCTCAAAGCATTTGTGGCAGGCATAACTAATATAAGTTTCACTAAACCTGTTGCAGTCTCTCTGAATGAAGCAGGTTCATTTGCATTAAGAAATTCTATTATGGATGACACAGAGGCTATGGAACTTTCTTGAGCATGCATTTTCAAAATACAAGTAGTAAGCTCCGTTTCAAGACGTTCCCTGTTTATATCTGAACCATGTTGCAGGTTGATAATGGCTCACTTGAGAAGTCGCCTCCTTAAACTGTGTTGAGAAGCAAGTTTCCGAGATTCGTATAACAGGAGCGTAGTTTGAGATTTTGAAGGTGTACGCAAAGGAAAAAAGTTAGAAGTCCGAAGGCGCTCCAAAGCAGGGGGAATCACCGTCTGGGGGCATGCTCCCCCAGAAATTTTTAAATTTAGGCGCTCGGAAATGCCATTTCCTGTGTTATCCACAGGACATTTTAATAAATTTGAAAGAAAATGCAAATAGTTAGAATAAATTTTACCCATCTCTAGTGTCGCCGTTAAGGTACAGTGTTTACGGGAAAAAGGTAAAACTGTGACGCCATCATGGAAATCACAAGCAAAGGGCGAGATAGCCTGTATGACAGCCGTCTCTCTTCGTCTCTCCTGCGAAACATCCCTAGTGATGAGGAGCGAGAAGAGGCGTACGTATTCGCTGGCTAAGGGCGACACGTTGACTCTTAAGACGGGCAAAAGACATGAATATAATGCGAAAAATTTATCAGTCACCCCTGTTTAATGATAAAAATACTTGCAGGAAATCAGTGAGTATACAGTCGATTCCCGATAACTCAAACCTTCAAGGGAAATCGGAAACAGTTCGAGTTATCGGGAGCTCGAACAAAATAGCCGGGAGTAAGGAAATGAACAGTTTTTACTGCACATGCAGTGAACATGTTAAAAGATACTCCTAGATTCTATCTCGTCATCACTGCCCCAGGGATCCCATGAGATAGCTAGACGCATGCGCATAATCAGTGCTTTTCGCGCGCTTACTCGGTATTCTCACGAGGTTTCGATACGCGACAGAAAATTATTTCTTTTGTCATTTTTATGCAAATTTGAACCTATTTCTTGCGTTGAATCACTAACACGACATGGATGGAGCGGATCTGGCGTCTGATACAAGGAGCAAAGGCGTAGAAGATTCTCAGGACACGAACATGTCAGTCCTCGAAGGATTAACTTCCACCTTGGCACAACTTGCCAAGGCTTCGGAGACACAAACGGCAATGCTGGCCAGTCTCAAGGAAGACCTTCTCCTTCGTACTGACTCAGACGAGGATGGAGAGGCCGTTCAGAGCCTAAATGACAGCGTTGATCTCAACGCCGCCTTAACTGATGTGCTCGACCCGAGCGAAACGTATACAAGTATGACCGCGGCGGCGAAACCTGCTTCATGCCCTGACTCAGGGTCGCAGGATGACATTTTGGAAACCCTAACTCAGGCCTTTGTGCAAACCAAAGAGAAATCTCCTGCGATAGCAGAGAAAATTGCTGGTTTAATTGACAACATGGTTACTGGAGGTCTCTCACCAAACACGATCAAAGAACGAGTTGAAAAATATCCTCCTCCAAAAAATTGTAAATTCCTGTCCACCACCACCGTCAACGAAGAAATTTGGGATTTGCTGCCACGACGCAGCAGAACGGTTGACCTAGCTTTCCAGCGAGTTCAAGAACCGCTTGCTCAGGGTTTGTCAGCCCTGTCTATTTTAGGAGACCAGTTGGTAAAGGACCTCCACGCTGGCAAAACATTAAATACACGTCAGATCTTGGATCACGTGATGGATAGCATTGCTCTTCTAGCTAATGCCAATTTTAAACTCAATATGGCACGCCGAGAGTTGATAAAACCGGAACTTAACCCTCCATACACCAGGCTGTGTAAAGATGAAATTAAACCTTCAACAAAATTGTTTGGAGATGATTTATCCAAACATTTGAAGGATATGGCTTAGGCAAAGAAAGTTGGCCGACAAATGCAGAAAACTTCTGACACTCGACCGGCAAGTCAAGGCTATTTCAAGGCAGGACGGCAGAAATTTCGCCGTCCAAACTTTAAACCTTATGACAGACCATCCAGTCAGAAAACTTCTCAGCAGCGTCCTTTTTTAGGCTACAGCCGGGCACAGAAGAGTGCCCAGAAAAAGCCAAGTCAACCCACCAACAAAACCCAGTAGAAACACAGGTAAGAGAAAACTACCCAACTCCCATTGATAAAGCAAATCTGTCTGAAAGGGTTGCTAATTTCTCGGCTGGAGGGTTACAAGACCATGTTGAAGGTTGGAAGTCACTGACTACTGACCCTGTCATATTAGATGCTATAAAGCACTATCACATCGAGTTTGGGGATGTTTCTCCTTCTCAGGTTTACCAGCCAAAACAAATGCAATTTTCTCCTTCTGAAAGGGAGATCATTACTGAGGAAATCGCCAAGCTCCTCAATAAGGGAATTATTGAACAAATAGACCGTGTCCAGGGTGACTTTATCTCTACCATTTTTGTGCGTCCCAAGAAAGATGGCACTTTTAGAATGATTTTAAATCTTAAAGAACTCAACGAGTTTCTATCCTATTACCATTTTAAAATGGATACGATTCAGACAGCCCTCAAACTCATGCGTCCCGGGTGCTTTATGGCATCGGTAGACCTTAAGGACGCCTATTACCGTAGAATCCCGGTTATAAGCCCTGGGCTTATACAATTTCGTAAGGGTTTTTGGGTGGGCCTATAATCGGGGGGGCTTATAACCCGGGGGGCTTATAATAGGGAGGAAAAAAACGTCTAAAAAATACGGTATGTCGCTAATTTACCGCCTAATTATTGTTAACTGTATACGGTACCCGGTATAACAGGGGTATAACCGGGAGGAAATTTCTATTAGCAGAGAGGTGGGCTTATAATCGGGTGGGCTTATAACCGGGGGGGCTTATAACCGGGAGGAAATTTCTATTAGCAGAGAGGTGGGCTTATAATCGGGGGGGCTTATAACCGGGGGGGCTTATAACCGGGATTCTACGGTATTCTGTTCCTATTGCATTAGAGGATAGGAAATACTCGACAAAAGTAAAATGACTATTAGATAAGTGGCACAAGTTATAGGGTTGATGGTTTCTAGTTTCCCTGCCGTTCAGTTTGGGGAACTATACTATAGGGCCCTAGAAAGGAATAAAATTCTTGCTCTGCGGGAAAGTAGGGGCAATTATGATGCACCAATGTATCTTTCAAATGAATCTAGATTAGAGATAGCTTGGTGGGTGAACAATGTAGACTCTTCCTTTAAACCTATTTTCCAGGGAGACCCTGACCTGACTCTTACAACAGATGCCTGTACTAGCGGTTGGGGTGCAGTATATGGGGCTCACAAAACTGGTGGTCTTTGGAATGTCGAGGAACAAGCTTTCCATATTAACTACTTGGAACTGAAAGCAGTTCTGCTGGGGTTGAAATCACTTCTTGGCCATGTTCATGGCAAACACATAAGAATTCAGTCTGACAATACAACCACAGTGGCATATGTTAATAACATGGGGGGTATCAAATCTGCAGAGTGTGACAGTTTGTCTAAGGAAATTTGGCTGTGGTGTATAGAAAGAGACATCTGGATCAGTGCTTGCCACATACTCGGCTCTACCAATGTAGATGCTGACACTGAATCTAGGAAAATTAACAATTCAACTGAATGGTCTTTAAACCTGGACGTCTTTTCAGACTTGGATAAACTGTGGGGCCCTTTTCAAATCGACCTGTTTGCATCCAGACTAAATTTTAAAGTTCCCAGTTATGTGTCATGGAAACCTGACCCTGGTGCTCAATATGTCAATGCATTTTTCATGAGTTGGAAGGAGTACTATTTCTATGCTTTCCCCCTTTTAGTGTTATAGCAGCCTGCCTACAGAAAATAGAGCAAGATCAAGCAACTGGTGTGCTTCTCGTTCCTGTTTGGCAGACACAACCTTGGTTCACCCCTCTCCTTCACCTGTTAGTAGACAATCCTGTTCTTCTTCCCCAGTCGACTCATCTGTTGACACAACTACACAACCATGCCTTGCATCCCCTTCGACGACAGTTGAGACTGATGGCTTGCATGCTCTCCGGGAAAGTCTCCAGCAGAGAAATGTTTCAGGCAAGGCTACAGCAATCATCCTCAAGTCCTGGTCTGATGGAACACAAAAACAGTACAAACCATACATCAAACAGTGGATGGACTTTTGTAGTAAATGGAAGACTGATCCCTATGATCCACCTGCAACCGTTGTTTTAGAATTCCTCGTTAGCCTCCATGAAAAGGGATTGACTTACACCACCATCAATACTGCCAGGAGTGCCATATCAGCAGTTACTATACCCAAGAGTAACATGACTGTGGGCAGTCACCCACTTGTTTCCAGGTTTATGAAAGGTGTTTACAAGGATTCTCCGCCAACTCCACGTTACCAGTCAACCTGGGATGTAAAGCCTGTCCTAAATTATCTTTCCTCCCTTCACCCTCCAGAGAAGCTTGATTTAAAATCACTCACTCTAAAGCTGGTTCACTGATAGCCCTGGTCTCTGCACAAAGGGGACAATGTTTACATATGCTTGACATTGGTTGCATGAAAAAAGTGACTAATGGATTTGAATTCTTGTTCATGGAACATGTCAAACAAAGCAGGCCTGGTTACCGAGCTCCATCTGTTCTCCTGCAAGCTTATCCTGCTGATTTGTCACTCTGTGTGTCTACTTGCTTGGCAGAATATCTTAAGCGAACCCAGCCACTAAGGGGAGCGGAAAGTAAACTTTTTATTAGCTTCATCAAACCTTACAAACCTGTTTCCAGGGAAACTATTTCTAGATGGATTCGTTTGATAATGGAGTCGTCTGGTGTTGACACCAGTGCATTCAAACCACACAGTACAAGAGCTGCAGCTACGTCGAAAGCCAAAGCTTCAAATGTCCCCATTGATGAAATCCTGCGTACAGCTGGATGGTCGTCCTCAAGGTGTTTTGACCGTTTCTACAATAAGCCAGTCGGTACCTCCACTTTTGCTTCTGCAGTGCTTCAGACTGATTAGAACAAGGACTAGGGCCTTTGCGTCTCTCCCCTGTTGCTACTGTTTAGTGATTCCCTATAACGTTGATTAGTTCCTACAACTTAGAGGTTTTTTCAGGGTTATTGTGCTTCAGCCCTGTTGTTTCTATTACTCAGTGTGTTCACATAGCATTATTTGTAAGCGTTTTTTGCTCTGTATTTTTATGGGCTACAGTTTGTGTTACTGTTAGTACTGTATAGGGTTGTTTATGCATTAAACACCTTGCAGTTGGACTTTGGGTTTTTTCTTCATGTGACTGTCTTGGCTTTAAAGTCTGATGGGATCCCTGGGGCAGTGATGACGAGATAGAATTGAGAAATTAAACGAGACTTACCTGTAAGTTGAAGTTTGATTGGAATTCTATCGAGTCATCAAACTGCACCAAGGGATCACATGCCCACCCTTTGTACAACCAGTCATGGTTGATTTTGTCGTACCCACCCTTTGTCCTACTGAGGTTTTACTTCGGTTGGCTTTCTGATATTACCCCCTTTTATGGGTGTTTGTTTGTGAGACACTCACATTCAGCTGTGAATACTGATTATGCGCATGCGTCTAGCTATCTCATGTGATGCCTTGGTGCAGTTTGATGACTCGATAGAATTCCAATCAAACTTCAACTTACAGGTAAGTCTCGTTTAATTTCTCAATTATACATCAGAACGTAACGTAACAACACATTTGCTTTTTGTTGTTGTTGTTGTTGTTGCTTTTTTACCCACGAAGCACTTAGGAGTTCTTATGGACTCGTTTAAACGTGTCCGTGCGTTCCAGATCGAATTGGAATTTGAAAGTGTTGGTTTTTAAGGAGAGGGGAAAACCGGAGTACCCGGAGAAAAACCTCACGGAGCAAGGGAGAGAACCAACAACAAACTCAACCCACATATGCGTCGACGCCGGGATTTGAACCCGGACCACATTGGTGGGAGGCGAGTGCTCTCACCACCGCCCCACCCTTGCTCCCCACATATGGTCTAAATAGAGCATGCGTTTTACTGTTTTGAGACTGGTAAAGTTGTTTCACGTTAGATTTGTGACAAACAACATCCGCCTCCACTAATAAACTATTTGGTTACAACACGTCAATGCGAAATTCAAAATTCAATGTTTCGGACGCCAGTACACGGTTCCCCACACACACTTTTTAAAGGCTCAAAACATACTTCCAGTTATCGAGGGTAAAATTAAATAGAAATGATCTGAAGGAAACAAAAACTACTTCGAGTTAGCGGGAGGTTCGAGTTACCGAAGGTAAAATTACAGTAAATGTATGACGGAAATCCAGGGGAAATCGATTTTGGTTCGAGTTAGCGCGAGGTTCGAGTTAGCGAGGGCTCGAGTTATCGGGAGTCAACTGTATATAAAAAAAATATTCATTCCAGATGTGCGTATATGGACGCTACGCTCCTGGATTTTATAACCTGGTTGATCAATCTAGACTTCATCCCGTTCACTAGCAAGTCCAAGGCTTCAAAATATATACATCTGTTATAGTCTTGTTCAGTTCCACAAAAATGTGCGTCAGATTGTCCTCCATCTATGTGCTTTCCTAGCATTACAGGGATTTAAACGGAGAGTTTTAAAGATTAGCCCTAAAAACATATTTTGTAAAATCGAAGGGGGAATTGCGTTGTGTTGTTAACTCAGTATTTTCGAAGGCAAAGTGGTAGTCTTCTTTTTTTTCAATCTTCGCCCAAAACGTTAGGGGGGGACACGGGCCTACTCGCCCCCACTCCTACTCCTACGGCCCTGGTGCGCCTTTAGCGCAAAATCATATACCGCCTTGAATGAACTTCTTAATGTATAGTAAAGAGAGAGCTGAAGTTTCGGTCGGTTAACACTATCTAACTGTTGAGCCGAGCATTTTGAAAAATATTCATACTTCTCCTTTCATAAATTATTCCCCTCTCATGCTGGCGACTGTTCCGTTTTTTGCAACCACTGTGTTTGATGAGGCAAGACCAAAGGTTTTCTCTTGAATGTGTATTCTCACGAAACTGATCATTGTTTGTCGTGTTTGCTGCGGGAACCAGAACAGCAAAAACGTTTTTTTTTGCTTGTTCCGGTAAACAAAGTAATTCAGTTTGGACCATGCTGGGAATCGTCCCCTATGATTGGCCATGTATTGACAGTTGCCGTCATCGGATTAGTATGGAAGTTGGTGGGCGGAATACAGAAACAACGGCTCTTTTTGCAAACTCTTCCTTCCCTTTTCCCCTTCGCGCTTAACCTCGTTTTGATACAGAGGCCCGAGGGAACTCGGAAATGACCTATTTACACCTCTTCCAAACCATCGCGCAGAATGTAGGGACATCATTACTTATTCATATTCAGCGAAGCGGCAAATCTGAATGCGAGTTGGCTAAGAAAAGCTCACAATGAGCTTGGTGGCGCTGATAAAACTTGCTTTCCTGCATTCTAAAAGCCGAGTTCCAAAAACCCTACGCGCGGCTTTTTGAAGAAGAATGGTGTACCTGCAATTTGAGACTAAAAACAAGAAGATTAAACAAGAGTAAGTGTTATCCCTTTGAACTTGAAAATATAGTAAAAACGGCCTTTGCAAGTATGGAGTCCATTTTCGAAAGAGATTTTCTGAAAGTTTACACTGCTTTTGAAAAATCTACGCGCGGGAAATGAAAGATGGACCTTTTCTCGAACAGACTCCATTTTAAATTTAAAAATAGGTTGAGTAGAATCACTATCCCTTCAATTTGAAAACTTCTGGAAGGAGTTGTGTTCTCAAATGGCCCGGGATATTCGCGAATCTATCTGAGCTATTTGGGTTGCAAGTTGGATTGTTTTACTTGTTTGTTGGTTATGATCAAGACTAACACTACGCGGAAGCCAACCACGTACACACGACGTTCTTACGTTAACCTGCCCCGCGGCAAACAAGGACCAGATGTAGTTAAGACAGATATTTAATTTGAAAAGCCCTTTTTTAACTAATTATGAATAACATGAGAACATAATATTATGGTAAGCTTCATACTAGTAACATGCTGAAAAAACCATACGCAATTGCTTCAATCTACCATACCAGATGTCTGATGGCCCCAAAAGCTAGAATACTAAATCTGAAATGCAACACTTTCCCGTTGTCCATGAACATCTGGACAAAACAGGCCAGACAGTTAGCCAGTGAATTCAAAAAGATGATCATGAAAAGTAAGAGAGGCCATTAACATCAAAGAGCGCAACAGAAGACGCGGGCTATGATCTCCCTATGGTTTTTCAATAATATTACGCAGCTACACTAAGCTCCTGAAGTGTACAATGTTAAACTACTGCCAAAACGTTATAGAAAATTCATTCTTTATAAATAAGCAAATAAGCGGTGTGAATACTATATTGCTAAATATTAGGTATTGGTATTAAAAGTAAGGTTGTGCTACTAAATTTGGTTTTAAACATTCCTCAAAGTCTATTAATTTTGTTGTGTACAACACCATTCTATCAAGTTGTCTATTTTTTTTCTTATTCCTTCCTGCATTGGAAAAACCAGGGCATCAGTGACCACTTACGAGGGTATCTGTTGCTTTCAATGATTCCCTAGGAAAGACAAAAAATAATCCATGAAAATAAGGTAGGCACTCCTTCCAGCCAAAAACAAGTCCGGTCCAACAAAAATAATTATTGTCCGCAAAAAAATACAATCCCATCGGCTGCCATTTCCTACCTGCACAACCTTCTGTGTTAATGGTGAGTGGTCTCTTGAAGTTGTACAGTGATGCAGTCTAGAAGTGCATGTGTGTTACTGTTAACACTGTACTGTACTATCAGAGGAACTCCCCCATTTCAAAGTGGCACCAACCAGAAACATCAGATCTTCTCAAAATCTCTGCAGTAAATACTGACTGCATACATGAGCATACAGTCTGTAAAAGCCACACTGACATTGAATAATAGTTTAATTATTAATGATTATTAACTTACATCTTCATTGTACAGCTGTTCAATCCATTGCACTAGGTCAGTGGTTTCAGTTGTGCATAAAAAACTTGTCCATAACTGTGCTTGTACTTTGCGTGCTATTTGTCTTCTGTGGCACTATAATCTTTAGCCTGAATTTCATCCGATTACTTCGAGTCGTTATTACTCCCTCAGTAACGTCGTTGTTGAGAGGAGAAAACGACTCGAAGCAATCGGATGAATTTCAGGCTATATAATCTTGTAATCCGTATTTTAATTGCGGCTGTAAACAGAAAAAAAAACATTTCACTTTCTTTGTGAAAGCCCATTCTGTGTAGGGTTTCCTCTCTGAGTATTCTCTAAAATACCTTTTGGATAGAAGGTGTGCATAAAATGTATACAGCTAACCAATAACAAAACTTGCCTTGCTTACCCTTTCCTTATAATCAATAATTATGGAGGTTTGTTCCAGCCGTTTAGTATTATAACTCGTAATGCTGTATGAACATTTATCTTCGCTGCTTGCAGCCTCTTTTTCCTGGTACTGCAGAAGACCAAGGAAAAGAGACCTCTGCTAGCAGGGGGACGATATTATCCACACACAGACAATTATCATCGCTCTGAATTCTTTTAAAATACAGATGTTCATGTAGTTATTTCATACAGTCATGTAGTTTAGTTTAGGTCATGCTATCCTACAAACGGTTCACAGTACTAAAGAAGAATATCCCTTTTAAGGATAGTTT